TACCCATCATGCCAATAAACCAGCAATCCGGGATAGCAACCTCACATCTGCCGAGCTACCTCGGTGGACAAAAGAGAGGGCGACCGGATATCTACCACCCCAGAATCTGAAAGGCAGCTTCCAGAGATACACCCGTCGCCCGAAAGATACCCAAAGCCACTCCCCAGGAGACCAGAGAGGGATTGGGACATCCCCAGGCGATGCAGATTCCATGGCAAACTACACCACCACCAAGAACCTCAACAGAATGGGATGGACCCCAGTATCCTTTCCCCTACCCAGGAACTAGTGTGCCTGTGGGGAAAAAAAAGGATAAAAAGAGGAAGGGTAATAGGGAGGGGTGGGGAGGAGGAGGAGGAAAAGGAACAAGGAGGATGGGATAAGGGAGGGGGGGATTGGGGGGTAATTAGGTTCGGTCTGAGGAAGGAGACCAACAGGTCTAATCCTCAGACCAAGAGCCTCTTCACCACGCCAAGGAGCCCCCCTTGAAGAGGAACAGATGCTGAATCAACGCAGTTGTCGTTGGAGATACATTCCTACTAAATTTCCATGGCACGGCGGATTTTATGAAAGAATGATCAGCATCGTAAAATGTTGTTTAAGGAAGACTCTTCATCGTCAGCGAATCGACTTAGAAGAATTTCGCACAGTTGTGATTGAAATAGAAAACAGAGCAAACAACAGACCTCTAACTTATATTACCGATGATCTGGACAATTTAAAAGTGTTAGGTCCATCTCATTTGCTCCATGGCAGAAGGCTCGAGCCTGTTCCTCCCATGAATGATAAAGAAATCATAGAGGATTCTATTTATTTCGAACCTGAGCAACTCAGACATAAATTCAAACACCTTAATAAAGTGACTGAAAGTTGGGAGAAAATTTGGTGAGAAGACTATTACTTCATTGAGAGAACACTTCTATGGAGGTGGTGTTCCTGAAAAATTATATGTCCTTAAGACCTGATGACATAGTGATTATTGATAATGATGGTCCGAGGTTCCAAAGGTCTCTTGGAAAAGTTGTGACCAAATATCCTGATGCAAATGGAATCATCAGGACAGTTGATGTTTTGTACAAAGATGTAGTGAATAAGCAGACAATAAACTAGTGCCGTTAAAATTACAGTGTTGAAAATAAAATTAGTTTTTCTCCAGAAACCCCACAGACTAAAGCTCTTCAGAAAAGACAAGCAGCAGTGGTAACGAGTGAGAAAATCAAATTAATGTTAAGTGATGAGCAGTTCACCTGCAGTGAACCTCCGCCACCCCCCAGTGTGGAGAACATTTTCTCCAGGAGGGGAGTATTAGCCCCTTTCAGCCCTTTTCAGCCCTGAGAGGCCCAACCCTCAGAAATTGCAATGGTATCTTGCTTGCATCAACACTTTAATTGATTCCAGATGCAGTACCAGCGTATGCCAGTAAGTCACGTCATGGCTGACCAGTGTTGCAACCATTGTGTGGGTTAATGAGAGAAAATTATTCTCTTACAAATAGCAGGAAAAATATGTGCAAAGAGGATAGCATTCAATGATGTCTATGCCCAGATGGAAGAATCAAGCATTCTGCATTGCTTCAAGGAAGGGAAATTTGCTGAGATCAGCTTTTCCTTTGTGGCTAGGGGCAGCGAGGTGGAGGGCACCGTGGCATGATCAGATTGCTTTAAAACCTGTCAGGGAAAACAGGATAATAAACAAAGAACACTGATCAGTGCAGTTTTGTGCTTAAAGACAATCAATCTCCATTATAGCAATAAATCTATTACCAAGAAGTGCTCAGCTTCTTTAGTGACTTCACTGTGAACAAATCTTGATGAACAATATAACGAGCTAGTGTTGCGAATTTCCAGTCTAAGTGGAAAACCTGGACATTCTCAAAGACACTATTCTTCTATCAAGACACCGATATCCGGGTGTAAGGGTCCGATAAACAAACCCACGTAAGTCTGTTTTGACGTATGGTAGTTCAATTGACTGTGCAGTTGAGAACTCATGTATGATCTAGGCAAATTACCATAAACCCCTGTGGGCTTTTTAGCTAATCACAAATGTGAATAAAATCACAGTGTTTGTGTATATTTCGCATGTTCTTGCGAATTCCTTGCATTGTTAAAATCTCTAGCAAGGCTGATGCATGCAGGGGATGGGATGAAAAGCTGTAAGCCTTCTCCCTGAAAGCTGGCTGCCTTGGATCAACGTCTAGTGCGAGCTGGGCGGCAAGATATTGGTCCAGTGTGGTGAGAAGGGTAAAGCACTGTGTACCTTGTTCCAAAGTTCGTAGGTTCGGGTCTCCTTCGGCCAAAGAATCAAGTGTTTAATATATATATATATATAAATATATATTATAAATTATAGTATAGGTTGGTAGACAGCAACCGCCCAGGGAGGTACTACCGTCCTGCCAAGTGAGTGTAAAACGAAAGCCTGTAATTGTTTTACATGATGGTAGGTTTGCTGTGTCTTTTGTCTGTCTCATAAATATGCAAGATTACAGGTAAGTCTTGCTACTGTGCACTTTACACTTAGTCACATCTACACATGTAAAGCATATATATACACACCCTCTGGGTTTTCTTCTATTTTCTTCTAATTCTTATTCTTGTTTAATTTCCTCTTATCTCCATGGGGAAGTGGAAAAATGTAACCTTCTCCCGTAAGCTATGCTGTTGAAAGCGACTAAAATGCGGAGCAAGGGGCTAGTAACCTTCTCCTGTATATATTACTAAATGTGAAAGGAGAAACTTTTGTTTTTCCTTTTGGCCACCCTGCCTTGGTGGGATACGGCCGATGTGTTGAAAAAAGAAGATAATATATATATATATATATAATATATATATATATATATATATATATATATATATATATATATATATATATTATATATATATATATATATATATATATATATGTATGCAAAACAACCACTCTGAAAGAATAGAAAAAAAACCAAGCGCTTTCGTGACTACTCACATTATCAAGGAACTATGAAAGTAAAGCATCCAAGGAAGCTATATAAGGGGTCTGGCCAGCACCTCACTATCAGATTCCACAACGGTTAAACACCTGACGCGCGCCGACCCAATTTGGATAGGTCCTTTGCACAACTCACCCACAAACTATTCTACTCAAGAAAATTTAAAAATTATTTGTCCAGTGTATTATTAAATTCTTCCCAAATTCTATTAATTATAAATGGATCTAATTTATATAAACCAAAGGAAATATTCATATTATTGTCAAAACTGCTTTTTATGAAACAAGATTCAATTATATTCCTGTCGACCATGGACTTGCTTGATACTACTTTCTCAACTTTTTGAAAATCAATTGGATGGTTAAAATCTCTTACATGAATAAATAGAGCATTGGAATCTTGTCCAGTTCTAATGCTATATTTATGTTGTTTTAATCTTAGTTCGAGATTTTTACCAGTTTGACCGTAATAAACTTTATCGCAAATTTTACAAGGAATCTTATAGACACATCCATCAGCATTTTGGGGGGAATTCTTTATCAAAAGTTTTTTTACTGTATCAAGATTTTTAATACAACTTTAATATTAAAAGTCTTAAGAAGAGAAGGCATATCAACCAAGTTTTCATGGTAAGGGAGAACCAACATATTTTTAGTTGAATAAGGCTGGTTGCCCTTTTTGGATTGTAAAAAGTATTTCTAGCAACTTTAAAAGATTTATCAATTACATTTCTTGGGTATTTTAAATCATTACCTATTTCATAAATTTTGGATATTTCCTCATCTATGAACTCAGGACTACAATTTTTAAATTTTTAAATTTTTAAATTTTCTTGGGTAGAATAGTTTGTGGGCGAGTTGTGCAAAGGACCTATCCAAATTGGGTCGGCGCGCGTCAGGTGTTTAACCGTTGTGGAATCTGATAGTGAGGTGCTGGCCAGACCCCTTGGATGCTTTACTTTCATAGTTCCTTGATAATGTGAGTAGTCACGAAAGCGCTAGGAATTTCTCTATTCTTTCAGAGTGGTTGTTTTGCATATTCTGAAATCACCTTTATGATTATATATATATATATATATATATATATATATATATATATATATATATTATATATATATATATATATATATATATATATATATATAATATATATATGTCGTGCCGAATAGGCAGAACTTGCGATCTTGGCTTAAATAGCAACGTTCATCTTGCCATATAGGACAAGTGAAAATTTGTGTACACAATAATTTCGCCAAAATCATTCTGAACCTAACGAAAAAATATATTTCACTGCGTTTATTTAGTATTAAATTACTGCAAACAAATCTAAAATATATTTAGTTGCGTTAGGCTAAAATAAATTGTTCTTGTTATAATAAGGTTAGGTAAGTTTTCTAAGATGCTTTTGATGAAAAATTAAAAATTTTTACATTAACATTAATGAAAAAAATATATCTTTAAACATAAGAGAAAATTTTTAGAAAGGACTTAATTTTAAATGAGTTCTTGCTAATTGACCAGTTTTACATATTCGCACGACATATATACAATATGAATATATAATATATATATATATATATATATATATATATATATATATATATATATATATATATATATAATATATATATATATATATAATATATATTATATATATATATATATGTTTCTTGGTTAATAACAAAGATTAACTAAAAGCAAAGAGGACAGAACTGCAACTAATGTTGCATTAATTGAGCTTGTGTTGTTCTACCTAACATATTGTCGGTAATTCTACCACGTTAATACATAATTAAAAAGCAGAATACTAGTAATACTGATCTATAGACAGTTGAGTTTGGAGTGCACTATGCAACGTTAAATTACCAACCCCCAGCATGTGACTGACAACCTTGAACTTAATTAGTTTAATGTTAAGAGGTGAATCAACTGAAAGTAGATTAGCCCATATGCCTCGGTCTACCTTGAGTTCGAACTCATGGCCCTTTGGTTTGGAAAATAAGTTCAACGCTTTGAGCCATAGACCTTACCAATGCAGTTCCTGGGTCCAGCGCTGAAAGGGATGTAGGCGTAGGGATGACGCTTGTTGATGTTCTCAGGCAGGAAGCGGTCAGGGTCAAACACCTCTGGATCAGGAAACTGTGCTGGGTCACGATGAATTTTGTATATGACCAGTTCTACTGTTGTGCCGGAAGGAACACGATAGTTTTCTGCAGGAATAATAATAATAATAATAATAACATTTCTGCTTATCCCAATGGGGAAGTGGAGCAGAGTTCTTCCACCGTGAGCTATGCATGTCGTAGGAGATGACCAGGTGTCTGGAACAATGGGCTAGTGACCCATTCTCCTGAATAAACTGCTAAAAACAAGGAAAACAAGATCTTCATAAAACTGGGATGTATGAATGTGAGTGGATGAAGTGCAGATGATATGAATGAAATGATTGCTAATCTTATGAATCAAAAAAAGTTGGATGTCCTAGCACTAAGCAAAACAAAGCTGAAAGGGGTAGGGGAGTTTTAGTGGGGAGAAATAAATGGGATTATGTCAGGAGTATCTGAGAGTTAGAGCTAAGGAAGGGGTTGCAATAATGTAGAAGAATCAGTTGTGGAGAGAGAAGAGGGGATATATGTTGAATAAATTCAAGGATTATGTGGATAAAAATAAGGGTCGGATATAAAAAGTGGGTCATAATAAGTGTGCATGCACCTGGAGAAGAGAGAAGTGTAGAGATGTTCTTGCCAAACATCTTTCCTGCCATTTAGGGACCATCAATCCCGCTCTTCTTAAGTATTCAGGAGACCTACTCAACTGTATCAGAAACCTCTCCATCCGTAACAAGAACCTAAGTAGTTTGGACGTGACTTCTCTCTTCACTAAAGTACCTACGACGTAAAGTCAATCAGGACCATAATCTTCCTCTACCTTCCAAAGATTTTGACTTGATTGAATTCCGAGTTAATTTCAATTGGTTTTCTTTCAATAACAGGCTCCAAAAACAATCCAATGGTATGGGAATGGGGTCCCTTATCAGCGCCCTCTTAGCCGACTTGTATATGGAGCACCTGGAAGCTGAACACTTCAACATCATCCCCACCAGCGTCACTTGGTTACGTTACGTGGACGATGTCCTCGTAATAACTCCCAAACGTTTTGATGTACGGAATCTTCATGCAAGGCTCAACGCAGTTGAACCGGCGATCCAGTTTGCTCTAGAAGAGTCCAATGACAAGCTACCTTTTCTAGACGTCCTCATTCACAAAGTTGATAATCTAAGATTTGAAGTTTGCCGTAAACCTACCAACAAAATTGATCTCACCAACTTCTATTCCAGTCAAGATACTAGGACCAAAAAGGCATCATCATCGGAGTTTTCCTAAGAGCATACCGAATTTGTAGTCCTGAGTTTCTTGACTAGGAATGTACATGCATTCACCAAACCTTCAAAGATTTACATTTTCCTTCCTTTTTCATCAAAGACTGCAAGAAAAGAGCTCTTCAGATCATTAATTCTCCACGCACCAACATCACTCCTAACAAAGATATAATTCTTCCCAACAGCCAGGTTGCACTGAACATTTCTAATGTACTAGCACAAGCAAACACTAGGGTCACCATCGCATCCAGCACTTCAATAAGGGGTCTAACCAGTACAAAATGGAAACACTTAACCAATCAATGCAGGAATTTGCACTATACCTTGTTGAGGCTGTGACAGGATATATGTATTTATTCAAATTCAAAGTTTATTCTCTATAAGGATTACAATGCTGAGTTTACAGAAATTTGGTTATTGTTTGGTTTAACATGTAGTAAAATTGAGATTACAGAGTGTACCACTAGAACGCTTAGCATGGCTAGGCATTTCGGGCATACTTAGTTTTATTCTTAAATATAAAATATTACAAATTATGAGGTAAGTTGGTATTATGGCTAAGTGACTAAATACTATTTTGTGAGTTTAGCAGTGTGAATGCTTTTGTTTTGGCACAGTATATAGTTTCAGTATTGGAGTATCACAGGATTCATTATATTAAGACTGAGATTAATATTTCTGTTTATGGTCAAATGAGTGTGCGAGTGTAAGTCTGAACCACCAGGTGGTATTCGTGAAGTTAGTTGACGGGGTGTATCAGGGAGATAAGATGTTTTCTAATGGTAGTTTTGAAGGTGATGAATGTGTCTGCAGTTCTAGAGTTCTCAGGTAGGGTATTCCAGATTTTAGGGCCTTTGACATACATTGAATTTTTGTAAAGGTTTAGTCGGACACGGGGAATGTCGTAGAGATGTTTGTTTCTGGTGTTATGCCTGTGGGTTCTGTCACAACTATCAAGAAAGCGTTTAAGGTCAAGGTTGATATTAGAGTTTAAGGCCCTGTAGATATAGATTGCACAGTAGTAAGTGTGGATGTACTGAACTGGGAGTAAGTTTAGATCTTTGAAGAGTGGGGGGGGTGTGCTGCCAGGGATGGGATTTAGTGATTATTCTTACTGCAGCTTTTTGTTGGGTTATTATTGGCTTTAGGTGTGTTGCTGCAGTTGATCCCCAAGCACAAATAGCATAGGTGCGAAGCTAAGAAAAGAGACGGAGTCTTTAATGGTCCAGAAATTGGAGAGCCTTATAAAAATGGTTACTTTGAATCAGACTTTCGTGGGAAGAAGAAAGCTGCTTGGGAAACAGAAGGGAAGGCAACTATGAAGAATTGGTGGAAAACCTCATCTAGGCTTACAAGAACATGGGATGTAACATGTTACTTAAAAACCACTTTTTGGACTCATACTTACTTTTTTCCAGCGAACTGTGAGGCAGTTAGTAACGAACATAGTGAAAGATTTCACCAAGAAATTTCAACCATGGAAAAATGGTACCAGGGTAAATGGGGCACAAGAATGCTTGGCAAGAGATGATTCTTAAGCGTCAAGAAAAAAGGCAGAGAGTAGGTACGGATTAAAGTTTAAAACATACTGACACATTGTACTTTATAATAAAATAATCAAATATTACATTGTCTTTTATCTTTAAAGTTATAGCCAATATTTCGATTCAGGGCATGAAAATACATAAGAATTAACTAATCTCATTTAAGATGCATGAAACTTTTCAAAAACTGTTGACCAGCGAATTATCCATCTATAATTTTTTTAACAGAAAAAGTAGATACATTGTTATGGTCTTTGATGGTGAGAACCTCTGACATTATCACTGCCAGCTCCTTCACATTAGTTTTTCGCTCTATTGTGTTAGAATTTGTTGTATACTCGATACAGTCTTAATTTCCTCAAGATTTCCATATCTGAGTAGTTGAAATTTCTCTTCATTGAACTTCATATTGTTGTTAGCAGTCCATTTAAAGATTTGGTTGATGTCCGCTTGGAGTCTTGCGGTGTCTTCGATGGAGGACACTGCCATGGCAATTTGGGCATCATCCACAAAGGAAGATACAGCTTACATCTCTGTGTCAGATATGAAGATGAGGAATAGGATGGGAGCGAGTACTGTGCCTTTTGGAACAGAGCTTTTCACCGTAGATGCCTCAGCCTTTACTCTGTTTACTATGACTCTGTGTTCCATTTGTTAGGAAGTTTAAGATCCATCTACCAACTTTTCCTGTTATTCCTATATCACGCATTTTGTGCACTATTACACAGTGGTTGCACTTGTCCAAGGCTTTTACAAAGTCTGTGTGTACTATATCTGCAATTTGTTTATCCTCTATAGCATCCAGGACCTTATAAGGCAGGAATGACCTGCTCTAAACCCTTGATGCGATGGGTTGTGTAGATGGGTATCTAGGTGGTTGGCTATCTTGCTTCTTAGAACCCTCTGAAAGATTATGATATGGGATGTTAGTGCTATCGGTCTGTAGTTCTTTGCAATTTCTTTACAGAGATGTGATAAATATAATGCTTAGAAGGACAGAGAACTACAGAAGAACAATGGATGTATGGGGTGTATGGATCAAGTGTAAATACTGAATCACATGACTGAACAATCCTCTATCCTGTTCTTTCCCAACCCTTTCCCTCTCCTTCCTTTCCTGCTTTTGGCTTTTAGGGGTCTTCCACTCTGAAACAGTAGCTCAAAGGTTGGGGAAAGGGTCCTTGGCTGTGGTTTTGTTTGCCATAGAGTCTGAATCATCTGCGGATGCTCTGTTCCCGCTCTGAAGTTCTGGGGTGCCTCAGGGTGTCCTGTGGGTGATGGGTGTATCTCTCGAGGCTGCCTGTCGATTCTGAGAGGTGGTGGCCGAGAGTGGTATACCTTGTGGCAGATTTCCGACCACCCTCTCATATGTGTGCTGAGGTGCCTCGGCCGATGTGAGGTTACTATGGACCCTCTTAGGCAAGGAGGAGGGGATATACAATCCCTTTCATTCCTCTTGGGAGCTATCCCTCCATATTCGCTCCCCTACTATTACAAAAACACCAAATGGTTTTTTACATTAGGTGTTAGTAATATAAAAGTTCGGGATACAAAAATAAAGCATTAAAATAAATTAATCTTTAATATAATATAAAAATCTTTGTCTAGAGGTATTCAAAATATACATACATGTTACAATAAATTATTAGCATTTGTAAAATAATAAATAATGATTTGTAACCCTACACAGGGTACCACTTTTCAGACACTACTGTGTCACTATATATATATCTATGCTAAAATAGTAAATTATAAATAACAATTGTACAATAATAAATTACAGTCAACTCCGTCTCACGACACCATAATGACGCTCCGTGTCTCACATGACACTTATCCGTGTAATGACGCTCCATCTCTACCGTGTCCCTTGACACCCTTTTCTCTGCGTCACATGACACTCCAGCTCTCCATGTCACACGACACCCTTTTCTGTGCGTCATACACTTTCTCAACTGTGTCACCCTTGACACCCTGCGACACTCACAGCGTCTTTCTCGAGGCCAGTCACATGACACTATTCAATGTACACTACGACCATACCTTCTTTAGTGTCACACGACACCCTTTTCTTCTCAGTGTTCCACTACGGTCCTATGGCATATCTCAGTGTTACACTCCATTACACTTCCTTAAGTGTCACACTACGGTCCTAGCCCAGTTCAGTGTCACACTCCAACCTTTTCTTCACGTAATGTCCCACTGAAACAGCATCAGATGACTCCGGCCCACAGTTGACCAGCGTAGGCGGTGAGTCCGCAGACATCACCGGTAATCCTATAAATAC